TCATGAAAGATATCTAACAAGAACGAAGAGCGACAGATCGTCGTCTGCTTAACGGAATTTTTGTACATTAACGAACGACGTCGCTCGCGTTTCCCGCGCAAATTCAATATGATAGTTTCATAGTTTGTTAGGCAGTAGGAATTCTTATTAAACAGCGCGAGCGGCTTGTTCGACGACGACGCCACGCGTCGCAAAAGTACTTAAGAGTCAAACGCGCGTACATGCCGTGAAATCAGGCGAGTTTCGAGAAGCGGACAAAAAGAATGAGGCGGGTGTTCGAAAGCGCAGACCGAATTATACTACGTGCGGAGCTTATCGACGGCTTGCAAATACGCGTCGTTTGCGTAGCGTCATCGGAACGATGTTGTGAAATCGGTGCCGAATGTTTGCGAGCTCGTCATTAACGTCTTGCTGTGTTCCAAGTCCAAAGGGCGCTCATATAGGAAAAGCCTGAGATTTCGTAGCGAATAACTAAAGGCGAAATTAATATTGGATTGTATAACACTTCAACGTACAGAGCTTATTGAGAGTCTGCAAACTTGCACTTTTCTTTATGCCCCACTTCTCAAACGGAATTTATTGAATCACAGCGCTCGAATAACTCCAATATATATCTCGATACGAGGAACCGGCTCTGCGGACCGTAATCAACGCTTTTACGGCGGGATTGAGAATCCCAGAGGAGGTCTCTAAGGTCTCTCGAGTCAAGTTAAACGTATGTTCGGAAGAAAGAGTTTGCAAGCTTCCGTCTTACACGGTCTCCTTTTTTTCTAGCTACGTCACTGGTGCCTCCCCGATTTTAAACGGAGAAAAAGTATCTACGCCTATGCGGTGACGTTCGTCCACAGCCATCGACATACATATATTTACCATTATATAGAATCCGGACGGTTACTGTGAGTTTTGTGTTGTACAGCTTGGCGCCTAGTTCTATGTATCGTAATGTTATACGCGTAAAAAGTTGTTTCACACAGATCCTTAGTATCCCCATCTCGACCCGCCCCTCCCCCCTTCTCCCTACCCGTTTGAATTTTGAATATTTGTACATATATATACACCCAGAAGAAATGTGAAGCTTCTTCGACGAGGTCCCGCGCAGATGCTTGCAGGAATCGTAAATGATTCATATAGATAGAAAAGAGCGATATCACTTGTTTTTAAATAACTGATTTTCGATCGACAAGATTTACGAAAATATGCTTGTCGGAGTATACGTGTGAGGATACTAGGATCTCGTCGAAGGTGCAGATATCAGACTCATTGTATATTTCTTCGAAATACATCGATCGATCCCGAATGGATGAACGACGAAACAGACGATATACTTACAATCGTCAGGACTAGCTGTCGATCATCGATCAGGCGCGATCGGCATACGATGTTGAGGCTCCCGAGTACTTGCTTGCTTTTGCCGTACTTTCAGGTGGAACAGTGGAAGACAAGATATGGCGAGACATCGTACGCTTATTGTCACATATGACTGACTTCGCTGCTCCACTATTGTAAAAGCAAACGCTCGGAAACCTTATAAACGCGACGTCGTCGAAGAATAAAAGGGCTCGTAAATGTCTCGAAAATATCTGCGGCAACGTCGATGTTTTTACGATACGTTCTATATAGATTTAGTAATCTATGAGATTTAAAAAAATCGAAGCATGAAACTTCGGAAATTATTGCCTTACGATTTAACGTCACGATTCATTTGCGTAAAAAAGTTGTAGAGTTAGAAATTTTCTATACATACATATGTATATCTTTCAACAGAGTAAGTCTTTTAATTTTTTTTTATAAATTTTATTATTACTGGTTTATCTAGTGTTTATATAGAATTTTGCTACAAATTAAGACGAAATACCTTGATTATCTTAATTGTAGAATACGCTTTCTAACTAAAAAATGTATAGTGATTTCGTTATAAAAATTTTTAATCGCAGATAATGTTCGAGACTATATGTCAATATAATTTCTAGTTCAAAAATACGGATAGTTTACGAGTCCGAATGTTAATTAGAGAAAAAGCGCGCTCAGACGAGGAAGTGGCGCACGTCGCCATGTGTATGCTGCATGTACCAGCAGCCCTTAAATGCCGACAATCAAGGCTAGTGCAACTAATCAAACGATAATAAATAGAAACGGAGAGAAGAGAAAAATACATAATAATTTTAATGAATACTCGTGAATGATCGCTATGGTTCGGGCATATTGTAAACCGCGACGAAGTCTAGTATTGCCAAACTATCGCGATCGAGAAGACTTCACGAAAGCGATTTTTGCGAGGATAAAAATGTTATAGATGCGAAGGGTCGTTAGGTCGAGATGATGTGCCCGCTGTCGACTGTAGAAAGTACAAAGTTGTAACGCGTAATGGAGGCTTCGAAAAATTCTCCGCTGAAATGGATTTATCCTTAGAGAGGGTTTCTCTTTTCACTATCTTTTGATGTTAACTAATGAAAATAAGACGGCTGTAATGAATCTTCCAATAAAATTAATGTGCAACATTATGTACAATGCGCAACAAGCGTTAAGTTTAATCGGACTCCTCCATTTCGCGATAAATGAATGGTCGTTTGTAGTGAAACAAAATGTTCGTTGTCAACAATATCGCTTCCATTTGTTCCCGAATAAATATAACGCGAGCGATCGAAACGCGAATTGTTCGATCCCAAGAAGCGGGAGAAAGAGTGATTGATCGATCGATCGAATAGATTCGGAAATACGAGCCATAAAGAAAAAGATGGGGAGGGGGAGAAAGAATAATAACGGTAGAGTGAATGAGAGCGAGAGAATGTGTGAGTGTGTAAATCACAATCAATTATTAAATATAATAACGGCAGAAAGTGAAGCAAATCGTTAAACGTAAGCATAGGGCATCGGAAAAATATCACGAAGACAGGCACGCAATATGTACAAGCATGCGAATTATGAAATTAATCGCAACAAAGAAACCTTGGTAGCAACGCATAAGGGTATCTATAGCTTTTGGTAACGTATTATCGCCGCTAAAAAGAAAAAAAAACGTAAAAGGCAATGAAAAATACACTCGTATGGGCATAACACGCAACACACACATACACGCAATATATTAAAAGAAACAGATAACTTTCTCACGCGGAAGTCAATATAAGGATTAGGCCCGTGCGAACGCATGAATAAATTAATGCGGATTAAGTACACTCGTCGCATCGGTCGATCGACCGATCGGAACGATCGTCAAACAGAACGCGTTAATTAAATCCGGCAGTGTAGATTTAAAAAATATATTGTATTCACTCTGATTTCTCAAAAAATGAAAATACGATATTTTATCCATAACAATTTGTGATGATTATTAAGTGAAATATAAATTTCAGATAATTTATAATCTTTTTGTCTCTTTTTCTCCATATTTGAAGTCGAAAAATAGATAATTTCAATCTTTAATCGTTTGACGATCAATGACAATTAGCGCGATTAGAGAACACATTAACTTCTTGAAGACGAGTGACGTTTTTTTTTACGATTTGTGGCTCCAAATGTATCTGTGTCCGCTCGGAGGCGTGTCCGGCAGTCTCGAAAGATTGTTTTTTATATCCATTTCATCGAAATGCTTGATACGCGTTCCATACGAGAGCCACTGATGTCGTTCGAGCTACTCGATCGATACTCGCCTTCAATTAATATCGTGGAACGGGCATGGAAAGTTATTTTTACTCGATTTTTGGCGATATTCGCACGGACCTGCACGGGAAACATCCACGAAATCGGCCAATCAATGGCTTGTACCAACGGCGAAACAAGTGAGTGATAAGTAAAAAGTAAGCGATAAATCTTCAGAAACTGTAATGCAAGTCAATTAATTCAAAAATTTTACTTTTGATTTTTTAAAAATCTCTTTTATTAGTATCTCTTTTATCAGTATCTCTCTCTCAAAAGAGAAAATAATTTATATTATTTTAAAGAAGCTTACTAATGTGAATAAAATTTGCACATTTAATAAATATCAGAAAATTATTTCAAAATTTATAATATGTTTACAAAGTCTATTAGTGACTTTATTTTATTTCGGTTATCGTAATTTATTAAAGTTTATTAAAAAATGTTTCAAGACTTTTTCAAATTGACAAGAATTGACAAAAGAAACCGAGATCCAATCCAATTCGATTGAATTTTCAAAAGCGATTGTAGTTAACTTCGTTCGTGAGTTCATAACGCCGATTTCGCGGATGTCATCCAAGTTACCTTCCACGTAACATCCACGAAATAATCATGTTATTAAGATTCTGCGTTTTTTAATATCAGCGAAGCTCGGCCCGGACACCGGGTGGATAAAGTGTTTTCAATAAACTGTTACATTATCTGAAGTATTCTTAATTCTTCCTCAATGTTGCATCTTTGACGAACGACTTTTAACGGCACACAATAATTAAGGCATCGAGACGTTGAAGTAGGCTTGAGAAATTATGATTTCTCATCGAAGGAGAAAAAGGAAAGGCACAATTTTCTCAAATAGTTTCAAGCAAAAAAATATTAACGCGTACGGAACCATTAATTATTCGAAGAATCGGTAAATATAATTTTATTGAAATATCTTCTCTACAGTGGACGTTACTTAAATCTTATTTAATGCTTATAATTTTATATTCAAGACTGTACGATCATCCGTACGAGACTCGTTCGAAAAGAAATCTTCGTGAGATAGAAATGACGGATTTGATCAAATCTCTTATCCCATCGAGACGATCATCTGACAGCAGTGTTATATATTTGGGTTCGTTTCATAAAAGTCCGCAGCTTGTAACGTTAGAGGATAGCAATGACAGTTTTCCCGAAAAAGTTATTCAACGAAACATGGATCAATACCAAAATGAGAAATCATTTAAAGTAACACATATATTTTATTCATTATAAACTAATTTTTCTGTGTCTCCTTTGATTAAAGAACATAATAATAATTTTATAGAATTAATTCCAATTAAATATTTTCATAAATTTTTCGAAAGTCTTATCGAATAGATTACGCTTTAAATATAATCCTGACCATCTATTTTATAAGATAAATACGTCTCGGTAAAAAAGTTTTTTGAAAAGGAGGACACTGTCTCCATCTCAGCCTTGCCCTTCCGTAATATGTTCAGCTGCTTTGATATAGCTTCGTTTACGTAACTTCGGGCTTCGATGGATCTCAACTTTATGAGATCGGCTTTAGTGAGCGGGATTGTTTTTGCTCCTATAGGAATCAATTCCGAGGGGTGGATTCCGAGCCAACGTGCGTTAGGACAAGCCAAGCTCTCGTTTTCTTTACAAAGGGTCGATGAACCGAAGCTGCGAAAACCAGTGTAATAGAAATGTATATAGAAACGGAACATTTCTCGAATAAAAATTGAACTAGCATGTAATATTGAAAGATTATCTAAATTATATAATATACTCAACTTTTGTATATCGAGAAGGATTATGATAAAGAGCTAAAGTTATAGAAAACTAATATTTTCTTATTTTGATACAAAAAAATTCTAATAAAAATAACAGCAATTTCCCTTAAATTACCGATAAATTAACATAATGTCTATGCCGAAAGGATCCGCGTCTACAATTATATAAATCGGCAATTCCATCCTTCCGGATAACATCTTGACAAACATCCTCGTAGCTACATCCGGATAACCCTTTCCCGTCACTAGAATGCATTTTAGGGAGCGAGAACAGTTTTCCTCGAGCAACTTTTGGAAGACTGCGTCCTTCTCAATGACCAAGACGAACTCGGCTTTCACACGAATGGAAATTATGTTTGAAATAATTTGCGGAATTTGCGCGCCGCCTGGTATCGTACAATCAATAACTTGATTATCGACTAGTGTGATGGTCATATTTCCTGCCACCAATCCTTTAGCTGTTGCCAGTAGTCCTAGAAAGACTCCCAGTTATTGATTTTTATTTCGTATTCTTTATTTTCTTCATATTTATTATTAATCAAATTAAAAGTTTGAGTATATATTTAATTTTAATTATAATATTTATAATATTAGGCTTCCTATAATTAAATAGTGTTTGGCTAACTCACTCAAATCCCATGGTGCGCATTCTAACAAATTAGCGATGTCATTCAACGCACGATCGACATATCGTTGATTAGATACCAAATAATTGGTTGTCTCTTTCTTTAAATCATAATAAAACGCTCGTCGGGTCTTGGTGGTGTTCATTAGCAACAAATGATGAACTTCCGCCATTATCACCATCATTAGAACAAATTTATTTCTGCTGCTTTTCACTGCGAAATCGACGGTTGTCTTTTCTAAATTCTGAGTATCTTTATTATTTGTATCTTGCTCTTCGACAAAGTCAGTTAAAGCATCATTGAAAAACATCGTTTTCTCTCGGACTTGTGAATCTGGATCGACTGAGCATCCTGGATAAATATTTTCTTTACGTGTACTCGATTTCGAAATATCATTTGGACCACTAAAGTACGATATACATGGTGCCTGTTCACTTGATATCTGTTCTATTATCTTCAGCGTAACAGCTTCGATACGTGCGATTAAATCCTTCCTAGACATCATGTCCGAAAAAAGTGTGAATTACGATACAATCAACGATATAATATTTATAACGAGAGAGATTGTGAGTTTACATTTCAAAATCAACTACTCATTTTCAAATAATAAAAAATATACAATCACAGCTAATAAATATTGTACCTCGGCTCTCTATTGTCGACTATCGGTATTTTGATAAATTTCTCACGGACGCCTAAATATTGATTAGCATCCGACGCGATTGTTTGCCCACAAAATTTTTTATTTGCCTTTTGCATTTTATTCTAAATAAAAAAGATAAATAATAATTAAATTAAATTTTATATATTTTTCATGATACATTAGTATATATTGAGATTATTTCTACAGAAAAATGAGTAAAATAAGGATATGAGAAATAATATTATAATGGATCAATAATAATAAATAAACATAAATTAATAATAAGGGCTATGAGCCCTTATTACACATAATTCTAAAATTATAATTACGCTAATATAAATGATGGTGGTGATTCTTCGTTCGTTCACCACCATCTTCGTTCACCGCCATCATTTATATTAGCGTAATTATAATT